TAAACATGTAGAAGCTGAATGAAAATATTTTTAGAGTATTTGTTTTCTTTTATATGTAGAGATTTATTAAAAATAAAACGTACTATGTAAATTGTAAATGTTTCAGTAAAATATTTATATACAAAAACGTTAACAAAATATAAAAAATAATACATATTTATGTTTTTATCAGTTGGTGTATACCGAGGTGTATACAGGGTGGTGCATCATCGTTGGAAGCATAGGAAATCCCATGCAAATTTTGCACTGTCCAAATATTGGCTTTCCTGTTGCTTTTTAAAGGCCTGCGTACGCTGAATACACATGGCAAATCTGAACAATTTTGGACAAGCTGATTTTAAGTTATTTAAGAAAAACTGCATCTATTTTTAAATATCGGTGTGTGGCACTTCATGTTCATAATGTCGGAAAAAATTATTGCTTGTGCGTCTTTCATTGTATTTTATAAATTGTTGAAACGTCAAAAGAGAAAACGACTGCAGAGGAGATGGTGGAACATAACTGTTTTTAAAAATCGAGTTTTTCATGGTGGTAACAATTTACTAAACGATGTTGAAACAGAAGATTCTGGAAAATTTAAGAACTTTTGTCGGATGTCACTTACAGATTTTGATACCTTATTAGATTTAATTGACATAAAAATAATGAAAAGTGATACCAATTACCGAAAAGTTATTTCACCTAAAGAAAGGTTAGCTATAACCTTACGGGTCTTGTCGATTTTTGTACTCCTCTATTAGTTCTAAAACAACTTCATTCGGCCATTCCATTTTTGATATTGGATCGCAAACATGGTAAACAAAATCCCGTCCAAACCGAACGTGCAATACCGCGAATTTTCTTTGATGTACCGACACGGCGTGGAACAGCGTCTAGAGGCATGTACAGACTAGAGCACACTCACCCGCATGAGCCGCTCGCGTGTGAGCGTGCTCGTTGTAGGGAGTGAAATTTTTGTGTTTGAACGAGTGGCTCATGGCTCAAGAAGGCGAGCCGTTTTTGTTTTCAGTCGATGTTGAGAACTTGTAGGCATGGCATCGCCACAAAACATGTATACCTTAACAAAAAAAAGTTAAAAAGACGAAGAGAAATAAGCGGTGATGGATTAGAGAGAGATATCGAAATCGAAACCAAAGTAACAAGAATTTAATGGCAGACTTAATTTTCGAAGGTGACGAAGCACCATCCTTTTTTTGTTTACTAAAATATTGTTCATATTTTGCTTTTGCATCCCACAAAGCTCTTTTATTTTCATATAAACTAATCAGCATCACACACTTTTCATTATTCCACATGGCTACAAATTGATAGACAACTTAGAATTTAGCAATAACAATCACCGTTTCTATTTGTGCGCCGTCTGAGTACGTCCACACTAGAGCGCCGATCGCGGGCCTACTGAGCATGCTCGCCTTTGAGCATTGCCAAAAAACCGACAAGTGGGGGCTCGCGTCGAGAACGCTCAGATGCGCGCGCGCGAGTGTGAGCGGCTCATGCGAGTGAGCGTGCTCTAGTCAGTACATGCCTTAGCAAGTAATCATTCGCTCGCTCGCAAAGCCGTCCACACCAGTTAAGCGTTCCCATAGAACATACCCGAATTCTTGCTCGCTCATCCGGTCTGGACACCCCTTAAAATTGGTATGCATGTGTATTCCGCATAGGCAGACCTTTAAAAAAACCTATTTACCACTTAGTTGTAAAATCAACAAAGGAGCCAATATTTGAACAGTTCAAAATTTGCCTGGGATTTCCTATGTTTCCAATGACGATGCACCACCCGGTATGTTTATTCTAATCAGATGTTAATTGGAAATTAAATTTTAATATTATTCCAATTGTAATTATTGCATAAATAAAAAAATACTAGTATCAAAAACAGAAACACCTGTCATGGCCAAGAGACAGTTACCTCTCAGGATATAATATTAAGACAAAAAAAGAGACATAAGTTATAAATATCTCTTGCAAACTATCATAAAAGACTTTTAAATTGAATGATGCAAAATGTTAATAAATAAATACAGGAGCAGCGATTCACTTATAGGCTTGTTACATTTCAGTTGATTTAAAAAAAATTCCGACCGTAGCGCTGTATACGGCAGAAATCAGTAATTTTCGCTATGTAAATTACTGGTTACTGATTACCAATATTGAAATTGTAGCTTTGTGATAATATTTAAGTATTTTAGTTTTTTGCTAGTGCAGTTATTGAAACTATAGAACACTCAGGTACGAGGTTTGTATGATGTAACGCTGTTTCGAGTAGTAAAAAATAAGTGAAAAAGAATCCGAACTAGGCGTCGTGTCGTGTTGTGACGATTTCAAATGTTAATAAAATTGCCGAAAAAATGTTAACGCATAAAGGAGAGCGTAATTAAGGCGTTGTTGAGTGCAATAACAATCTATAACTCAACTTTCTCGGATATTGAACTGTCCCAAAACAACATTTTATAGCTTCATAGTTTCTCACACCGATTTGATCAAAAGCAAAAATGGATTCAAGCAGTTCGACGAAACAAGTGAGTGAACAAAGTGCCCATTACATATTCAAAAATTAAATATATGCCTATTGGGCCAAGGGCCTCCTATTGGGAGAGGGTAAAATATAATTTGCAATATTAATGGTATACTCTTTTTTTAATTAACTAGTGCTTAAATTTTTTATGAATATCTTCTAAAATTATAATTATGTACTTTCAAAACATTTCGTTATAGCCGAAATAGCCTAAGATATATCCCCACTAGCAAAACCGGTGCGTAAAATTATATATGCTCGCTAATATAGCTGAACTTTATTAGCTTCAATAATAAATTATAATATCTAAAAGTTAGACCTTCTGAAGATCAAAATATTGACTTTTTTATTTTTTAGAATTTTCACAAATTATACTTCCTTGCACTTTTAGAATAATTATATAAACTTTTTTTCGCATACTCGCTATTTAAAGCCGTGTATTTGTATATATCGATTGTTTACGATATTCTCCGATGGTGGCAGCACCGCCGGAGAATGCACCAAGCCTATATCAGAGAACAAATCAACAAGTTGTCAAGTTGTTGAAACATACAATAAGAAAGTGCAATATACAGTGTGTCAATTTTAAAACTTTCCACCCTTAATATCTTTCTTGCAGTTAAAAGTATGAAAAATCGGAAAGACACGTCAATTTTGTTTGTAAGGGGGACACTTTAAATTAATATTTTTAGCCTTTTTCTTTTAACCCCCTAGGAAGGGGAGATATCACCATTACAATCTTAAATGGGAAGGGGGTCAAGTGGCACATGGTTTTAAAGGGCGTTTAATTTTCTCTTCAGTGGTATCCTACTTTGTTGCTTTTTGTCGAGTGGTTTCCGAATAATCACGTTTCAAAGTTGCAGAAACAATTAAACATGCCTGCATTGAGATTTTGGTTTTCAGTCTAGTGTTTACACAAAAATTATTGCAATAGATCTCCTTATAGTACAAAAGATTAGAAGATCACATTACACCACTTACGCCCTATCTTATAAGTTGATCAGAATGTTGTCCATTTTGCTGTTAACAATAATAAAGTGTGTTTTCAAACTCCTTCCTAACATTTCGAAAAGTTCACCGGGAATTGACCGGCATTCTGCTGTAATTCGCCTTTTAAGATCATCAATATCAGTAGGTTGTGTTCTATAAACAATGGATTTAAGATGTCCCCAAAGAAAGAAATCTAAGGGTGTTAATCCGGTGATCTTGGAAGCCATTCAATTGGTCCCCTTCTGCCAGCCCATGTACCCGGAAATCTCTCGTTTAACCACTGTCGGATCGGAAGAAAATAATGAGGTGGAGCCACCGTCCTGCTGGAATGTTAACAAATCCTCCTGTATAACTGATTAGAGGTTGCCACTCATTCGAATTTAAGAAAATAAACGTTAATGTTTATTATGTTTTCTGTTTATTAGTATTTCGACCCCCCTAGAAAAATATAATTGCTACGTCCATGTTTCCACCTAATCTTCTAATTATTTATACTACAAGGAGACCAATTGCAATATTTTCTATAAGCACTAGCCTGAAAACCATAATCTCAATGCAGGCATGTTTAATTGTTTCTGCAAGTTTCAAACGCGATTATTCGGAAACCTCTGAAAAAAACGCAACAGAGTAGGATACCACTGAAAAGAGAATTAAACGTCCTTTAGAACGATGTGCCACTTGACCCCCATTCCCATTTAAAATTGTCAGGGTGACATCTACCTCTCCTAGGGGGTTAAAAGAAAAAGGCTAAAAATATTAATTTAAAGTGTCCCCCTTACAAATAAAATTGACGTGTCTTTCCGATTTTTCATATTTTTAACTGCAAGAAACATATTAAGGGTGGGAAGTTTTAAAATTGACACACTGTATATAATAGATATTGGCCACATAAGGCCAGTAGTTATGCCACGCACAGGCACAGGTATCAGAGATCAAATTAAAAAAAATGGTGATTTAGGAAAGTCCTTGTCTAGAGGACATAGCACATTATCTTTGAAAAGTAAAGAAAGAAATTCGAAAATTAAGAGGTCTCTGTGGCTTTCACATCATACATTTAATGACAAAGAAAATATAGGTATCTCGACAGTGTGGTCTAATTAATTTGTCATCACAGAAATAAAGAAAGGTTCATTTACATTAATTTGGAGAAATAATCCAAAATGAAGAGTCTTATAATGCGCGTTTTACAACCATGTCAAACCATCATTAGTAGATCATCGCAAGAAACATAAATAATAAGTTAAATAACCAAGAATAAAATATCGCTATACTATCTGTCTGAATCTAATCTCTAGAATGTATGACAAACCACCTTACATTAAATTTATCTAAAGATAAAACTATTATTATTTTGACGCTCTTTTTACGGAATTCTACCCAGAGCCTTATCAAATCACTTTTATCTAAATCAAACAACAAATTTCTTGGTACTGCTGCTGTATATATTGCAAAAAGAGAGAAATATAACTAATTAACAAGAAAATTGCATACTTACATAATATCTTTACGAAAGTGCATCGCAAAGTGAACGTGAAAGTAATCCAAAAACGAGAATCACGCACTTTACCACTAAAACATTTTTGTTTAACTTTTTTAACGCACTAAACACTAAAAATATCTATTAACTAAAACTAAAAACTATCGCGATAGACGGGTTTGTTGACAGAGGGAAAAATCGGGGAAAAAATTGAACGTGAGGCGGGAACGGGTAACTCGATTTTAAAACTAACAACTGGCGCGTACAATACACACGGATACTTGACGATATATCGGGAGACCGGCGAAATGCTCGCCATGTGACAAGGATAAAAAACGGAGAACGACTTTGGTGGAGCGTACTCCGCGAGTAGGGGAGATCGGGGTACGATAGTGAACGCGTTTGCTACTTTCATTTAAATGTGTGAGAATAATAGAAACAATATACGGATATACATAAATTAAACTATAGGTTTATTTAATTTGGTAATTATTGCAAAAACTGGAAATCGTCCGATTTTCACCAAAATTGGTATACACATTTATTAGGATCATTTTTTCTTGGCGGTCCCTTACCGTTTTTCAGAAAAACGGAAAATAATTTCAACATTGAATTTTTCTTTATTTCGGCCCTTTAAAGTAATAATTTTTACTATATTTTCATTATATTATAGTTTATCTAAAGCCACACTTGATTGAGGATAGAAAAATGTCCAAAATTTTATTGAAAAACACTTTTCTTAACAAAATAACAAAGAAAATTGAGCCAGATGGAAGTTGGACATTTCATATATCCTTCTTTCTCTCTCCTATGTAATGAGAGAGACAAATATATTCTAGACCTAATATAGAAATTTGAAAATTTACGACGTTGCCATATCTTCTATTTTTTCGGGTGATTAGAGATTTTAAATAAATTACCTATTATGAGATCTGACAATAATATACGAAATAGTTTTAATATACGAAAGAGTTTTGATTGCATTGGTTTCAACTTCTATGCGGAGGGGTTAATCTTTTTTTGTTATATTATATTAAAAAAAGATTAACCCCCTCCGCAAAGAAGTTATATAAAGACTATTTATAACCACGAAGTTGCACGAAAGAGTTTTGATTGCATTGGTTACAACTTCCATGCTATGGGTGTTAATCTTTGTTGTTATATTATATCAAAAAAAGAAACACCCTTCGCATGGAAGTTGTAACCAATGCAATGAAAAATCTTTCGTGCAACTTCGTGGTTGTAAATAGTCAGATCTCGTTGGTAAAATAGCAGTTATGGGAAGGAGCCGTTCTTCTGGCGACGGCCTTTCGTAATCCCAGAATGAGCGAAAAAACACGCTAAATTTAGGTTTAACATTGGCAACGTTGCTTTAAATGCCAGAAACACATAACTCAACATTTTCAGATTGTTTACAAATTTATTTTAGCAAATTTTCCTCTATTATGCATAGATTAAAAAAGTAACAGAAAATAGCAAAAACATTATTGTTTATTGAATACCTAACAAAATATGTGCTAGAAAACCTTAAAAATATGAGAAATTAAGAAAAATTCGATGTTGAAATAATTTTTCGTTTTTCTGAAAAACAGTAAGAGACCGCCAGGAAAAAAGTTTCGGATTCGTAATCTACGACCTCAAAATAGGGTGTATACCAATTTTGGTGAAAATCGGACGATTTCCAGTTTTCCCAATAATTACCTTTCATTTAGATACTTCACACTAAGGTTGAAAAAAAAATATTTTTGTTGTTTTTTTATGGTTTAAAACAGTTTTAATTGTTTAAAACATTTGTTTTAATCTCTATTTTAACCGACATAGTGTAGGTGGCATTAAAAATAAAGAAAATAGTTTGGATAATGATAAGAAAGACTAAATTAACGGTGGTAACGTTTCTGGTTTCCCATCAGAATTTATCGAGATTCGCAAACAATCCCCAGAAATTTTTAATAAAACACAATGTTATTTTTAAAATTTTGCTTTCTTTTAATGATAGCGTAAACCGCACATATTAATTAACAAATCAACAACAAACAATAAATTAAACAAGCTATACCCGGTTGTTCTACATAAAAAGTAAAGAGCAGAGTAAAGCAGGACGCACATTATCGCGGAACGGAATAGATCGGAACGTATCGGATCGGAACGGAATGGAATGGAAATTTTGCATCATCGCACATTAGAGCGGACTTCCTCGGAAAAATGTATTTGTACATATTTGAGTAATTTACGACTAGACTGGCTTGGTTTAAGTTTTAGTGTGTGTTGTTCTTTTGCGATGGATTTTTCAGACCAAATACGTTTAAAATAAAGTATACGGAGGGTACCGCTTAAATTCCTGTCCCGATATTGAAGGATGGCTATAGAATTTCAATGCATTTCCTACATAAGTCTATCCTTGTGTTGTAGGAGGTTTGACTAAACAAGGATGAACCTATGTCTTGAAACCATTCGACTCGATTTTCTGTCCTCCTTCAATACCGGGACGTAAATCCTCTCATTGCTCTTATGGGGAGGCCGTCGTATATTTTATTTAAACGTATTTGCTTTAGACGAAGAATTTGTGACATTGTGTGTATTTTTAGAAGAAGAAGAAGAAGTTGAAAGAGAAATTCATAAAAAAACGCAAATGGGTCCATGAAATAACCTTGAAATTGCAAGAATGTGGCGAATTTCACCATCTATTCCCAGACCTATTAGAAGACGAGTACTTCTGGATGTCTAGAGAAAAATTTTACGATTTGTTAAAAAATCTAGACATTCAGAAACAAGATACGACTTTTCGAAAAGCTATAAGTGCAGAAGAAAAGTTGGCGTTGCCATTAAAGTAAGTATGTACATAGGTTTATTTTACAAAAACCGGAGGGGGCTGTGGAAGAACGGAAAAAATTCGCTCGGCAAGCAATCCCAGCGATTCCCTTCCGTTCCTCGCGGCTCCGATCCGCGGTAGTGTGCGGCCTCTAACTTAATTATATACTTTTTAAAATTTCCGTTCTATTGCGATCCGTTCCGATCCATTCCGTTCCGCGATAATGTGCGTTCTGCTTAATACTTTTTTATAATCTCTACCAGTTTCCACGTGTACAGGGTAAGAAAAATTGGACGCTTTTAAAGGGAAACACCCGTTTCTATAGGAGATGAAAACTAATATCGGTGTCTGGATCACAATTTTTAGCAAGAACATGATAGTGAAAACCGAACATCTGTTATCGTTTCGGAGTTACGGGGTGTTTTTCAAAAATGTGCATTTTAAAAAAAAAGCTGCAACTTTTTTGCTGCGGAAAATTTTATATTTTTATGAAAACGGGACCGATTTTGAACATTTATTTTGAACACATTGGGGGTGAAAGATACCCTCGCATAACCGCTAAGTACTTCTAATTCTTGTCTAGATTATACGGGCGATTTAAAAATAAGAACCTTTATTCTTCCGCAAAGATAAAAATTCAAAAAGAAAACAGACAGAAAAGTCCAGCGGCCTCGATGGCCAACGGCTGGGATCTTGGTTAGCTATTCAATTATTCTCGAAGTTGGCTTCAAAAATTTGCTGATAACTCCAGCGTTCTGAAGCGGTACCTCGTCTTGCTGGAGTTAAAATATGTTTTCGAGTTCCATTAGGAGCAGATCATCAATAAGGTCCAAAGCCTACTAGTTAAAAGGGCGAATTCTTAAAAATGCTGTATTTTGAAGGAACAAAATATTAAGTGTGCTATATATTTGGACAGGTAATTTTAAATTATTTTCTGTTAATTAAAAATATACAGTGTGTCCCAAATAAAAAAATCAATTTTTCTGTTGATAACTCTTAAATTATTAATTTAAAAAAATACTTAAACCATTAAATTGGTACTTTGGAAATGTTTTCATAAAACTAAAAGTTTCCTTAGTAAAAAAGTTTGTTAAAAATGCACATTTTTGAAAAAGACCCCGTAACTCCGAGACGGTAACAGATATCAATGTGCGGTTTTCAGCATTATATTTTTGATAAAAATTGAGCTAAAGGCAAAAAGAAGCGTTCAATTTGACCCATCTTGTTCAACAGCATTTAATTAATCAGAATATATTTAGTATAATTAAATCAATAAAATTACTCATAACATTATTATACAGGGTGGTCTAAATTGTATTCGGGAGACTTCGGTAATATATTCTGCATATAAAAATAAAGTATTCGAATAAATTTATGTCCAAAAATGCTTTGTTTCGCAGATACAGCGTGTAGAAGTTTTATTTTTGTTTTGTTATTTTTTCCAAATAATTTCTTAACTATAGTCGATATATTTGGGTGAAAACTGGTGCCTGGGTGTTTTTTGATATGAGACATTTGATTTCGACGTCAAGATGACTCCTACTTTTAGGGGTGGCCACTTACATGTTTTTTTAACTTATTTAAACAATAATAACTTTTCGTTCGTACCTGTATAAAACCATTGGATAAAAAATACATTTCCGTCATTTTTACGTAAAAAAGGCCTTTCGATAAAAATCGTCACGTGCAAGCTTTCAAAATATTTGAAATGTTAATGAATTAGTCAATACATGTCATTATTGGCAAAAAATAAACATGTTTACTACATAGGGAACTTTTCAAACATTTTCAAGTTCAGTCTAATAACTATAATGCAGTCAATATGTTTAATTTTTGTCAATAATGATACTGTATCGACTACTTCTATTTCAAATAGTAGTTTTTTTATTAGTATGAAACTTGGGAAAATTATAAACGGGATTGACCAATTTAGAATAAGCAAATTTTCTATGAAGAATGCATTTTTCTGAAATTGTTAATAATAGGAAAGGTTTTTTTCTTGTAAAGACCATCCGAGAAGATAATTTAAAAGTATATCCTACATTCCTATTGTAAATGTTGATTTACCAGATTTATAACGTGAATATCTATTAAAAATGAAAACAATTATTATAGTATCCTCATTGTTTTACCATTTGCCACTTTTGTCTCAAATAAATCTACTCTCCCCTACCGAACTGATCGCAAAGGTAGTCGAATTGTCGGAATGTGAGCGGTTTTTTCTTTATTTTTTCACGATATTTTTCGGTGGGTTTTGAATTATTTCGATGACAATCGAGTCGGCCACGGCTGTTCAGCCCTGGCCAACTCGATGCACGACGACACGCTTGTTTTTGGGTCGTACCTACGTACTTGGATGCAAATTGGAAGGAAACTGGACTTGAATCTTGGAACTAGTGATGAGCGATACGATGCCGATTAAGAAATTTCGATACGTTCCTCGATACTTTCATATCATTTTTATTTTTTCTTTTTTATTTAATCTATAATA